AGCAAAACGCTAATTCGAACTAGTTTTTTAGTCTGGATCCGTTAGTTCGAATTAGCTTAGTTCGAATTAACTAATTCGAACTAAGTTAGTTCGAATTAACGTTGTAGTGTAGACATACCCTCACATTGGTGTAAATCGGGTGTGACTCTAGTCAGGTGAGCAGATAGACCCTGGTGTAAAACTGGGATGGAAAGAGAATTTCCATAGATTTTTAAGGCTAAATGGGAACATTCTGATCAACAAATCTGACCTCCTGGGTCACGCAGGCCATAAAACTCCACCCTGTAACTGCTGCCTCCTGCCCATGGGTCCTGGCTTGGGATATGTGTTAGAAAGAGACCCCTTTAATCTGATGTAAAGACGGCACACACTAAAGAATGAAGCCCATGGGATTTTAAAAATAAACTCTGCAAAAGGGTAATTTCCTCCCACCGTTGAAATGTAGCCATCCGCAGGTGCACCATGTCTGTTACCGCCTTAGGCCCACAAACACAATTCTCCTACCAATCGCCACTTCCTTAGCAAATGCAACACCAAGTCTCCAGTGTCTAGCTGGAAACTTGTTGTGCGGGGAACCTTGAGCCTCATTCACTCTGCGGGGGAAAGGTATTTTTTTCCTTTGGCTCGAAGAGAAGGTGGCTGGGAGTTTATTTGAAACGGTGCCCTTTAGAGGACTAAAAGAGAAGAGCATTAAGGAGACACTGATTTAATCCATGAAAATGATCTTGCTGTTGCTGTTTCTTCATTAAATTCCTCAGAGCTGTCGCAACGACGAGGCTGTCATGCCACATTTCTGAGGGAGCCGAGAGCTAGAACTTCTCTCTGGAAAGAGAGAAGCATTCGTAAGTCCCCAAATAGCCTTTTGAAGACATTTCTCTTATCTTACAAGGACATGCATCATTTGAAAATGTTTTCGCTTTGGAGCCTGAAAGTCGTGCAATTCAGAGCAAATCAAGCGGCTTCTTGCATTTTAATTCCTTTCAAGTCCATCTCCGAGCCATAGCCCTTCACTGACAGTTCCTGTGTGTTTCTTTGCCCCTGGAATAAGCAATCTTTGGGGCGTTTCATTTAACCTTTCTCTTCCTGCTCATCGCAGTGTGAGTGACATGCTCCAGTACGGTGAGGTTTTAGGAGCATCAGGACGCAGCTCTTGTGGAAGATGAGGAGACAGCAGTCCCCTCACACAGTTGAGACTAGACGCCTAGACTAATTAAAGCGATGTGAAGCCATGTCAGAGATTCGGGGGGAAGGTGCTTATTCAAGGGGACAAGTGATGGACCCAAAAGAAAATTTAGTGGGGTTCTCCTTATAGGGGATTTCTGTCTTTCATATTCACTAGGTCTGAGCCTAATCATTTAATTTGATTCTTCTGCCTGGTTGTATCTTTAATTCCAGTAATCCAGCCTTTTCCTTGGCATGCAATGTCCTTTCTCTGTATGCCATGTGGTGTCTGGCTTACTAGCTTGCAAGCTCTTTGGGAAAGGGCTGTCTTTATTTTGTGCCAGGTACAACCTCAAGCATAATGTCAGCTCTCAATTAGTAGCAATAAATCCAATCGTGAAGGCATCTATCACTG